CCATGTCTACATTTTAGAAGCGTCAGTTTTTCACAGCTGAAATATTTATTTACATATAACTACAATAGATGCAAGAAAGCAAAAGAAAAGAGAAAATTTAGGTTTTATTTTGCATTAGTGAAGGTAGACTGCAAATGCTTACCTAGGGAAGCAATGTTCTGTTTCATCGTCTTGTAAAATAGATTGGAAAATTCTTCATTATTGAATTGGGTGGGGTAGGCCTGTGTTCAGATTCATTGGTATATTAGAAATAAGAAATCATTTACACGTTGATGAAATCATGTTTCCTTTTTCTATAGTTGTTTTTCAGCCAATACCATGGAGCAGATTATTGAAAACTTACAGCAAGATGGTTCATCTTTTGCCCTAGAGCAGTTGAAGGTAATATTGAGATCCTTTCTGCCATGAGCATGGTGAGGTCTTGTGACAGGGAAGCTTCTCTGAGGGGTAGGAGTGCTCTGTGGTGGTGACATAGCCCACAGCATTGTTTTTTTGTTGGGTTTTCTTTTTTTCCAAATTCAGATGAGCTTCAGAAAATAGTTAAACTAACCTTGACCTAAACCCAAGTGCCATGTCTGAATTGTTGAGGGAAAAAGCCACGCTGGTTTTATGTCCTTTGAAGGTAGCAGAGAAGGACTTTAGTAAGCATGTTTCATTTCCAAATAGTCCTCCTTGTCCTAAGCTTTTAGGGACATTTTTATTATATTAGAAGGGTTGAGTTACTGAAGAATAGTCACTTTATGGTATACTGCGATTGTGACATTGATCTATAAATTCTATTTAATATGTAATAGATCAGCAGATGGTTTTCCTAAGCAGGAGGTTTAATAAAAAAGGGATCTTTTTTAAACTAGCAAGAGACTCCATCTACTACCAGAATTGAGTCTTAAGCAGTGTTTCTGCATTAAGTACACTTTGATCTTTCTACAGTATAACTCAGCTAGTAACAGCAGAAGAAAAGCTATTTTCATATAAATGTGTGCATAGTAGGTATTGACATTCTTGGACATATTGTATGGTGATGAAAGTTGGAGTATTTCAGACTTCTAGACAAAAGAAAGAAAAAGTGTGTTTTTTCATACTTAAAAGGTGTTTGGCTTGTCTTTATCTTATAGTATTTTTCTATTTATAGATATAATCACGGTATTTCAGTTGTCAGAAAACTTACAAAAATTTTAATAAAGTCTTGTGAAGATGAAAACATTACCCCATTGTTACTGTATTCTTATGGAGGAAATCCCAAATTGATTGTCTCTCAGGATCTTATTCAGCATTAGAATTTTATTAACTTTCAAGGATAGGCATAAATTAGAGTAGGTAGCTCAGCCATGTACTTCCCTAACTCACAAAAGTAGATTGTTACCATTAATAGTAACAGCTTTTAGGAATGATTATGTAAATGTAAATAATTGTTTTATTTTTCAAGGATTCTGACTTTAAGTTGGTTCTCTTGTTTCCAGAACAATATAAAAACTTGTGTTTCTGGTTTTTTCTCCCAGCAATAGGACCTAATTAATTATGCACTTAGCAACTTGATTTGAAAGTAGTTGTGCAGCACATAACCTTATAGGCTATGGGATATCACTTAAAAGCAGTACAGATGTGCAACTAACCATATTATTTTAAAACCAATGGCCTACCCCAAAATGGAAGGTTAGGAACTCTATGGTCTTTCAATTTTCTTTCCATTCCTCTGGCCATATGGTTATTCTGTATTCAGAAACGAATACTTGACAAACCACAAATCACAGCTGGGGTCATCATAAGCACTCTCATTGGAAGGACAGGTTTTCATTTTTATTCAGTTGATCTACAGCTCTGGTGAATGAATGTAGCTCCAGAATATTAGTGTCTGCTGGGAACACGATGTGAGGATTGAAACATTCCCACTGAGTCTTCCTCGCAGAGCTTAGATACAGGGCTGCTTTTAATTATGTCAGCTAGAAACACAGAACAAACTCTGAAGGAGAAAATAGTTGTTAGTGATTCGTTGAAAGGTTTGCAGATTGAATGTTTGAAAAGATTTTTAAAAAGATTCTAACAGTTTTGCCAGTAAGCCTTTGGGATTGCTCCTAAGCCCTGTGGGCGCTTTAGGGATTCTTGTCTCTGCTGCAGGTCCCCGTGATCTAGTCTATTTCTGTGTTCTCTGAGTTGCAACTGTCTACTTTATGTCTTAGAGGTTTCTTTCTCTCCAAGATTGTGGGGAAGAACACAATCTGTTCAGTGTATTTGTCAATTATTAAATAAAAACAGTGTTTTTAAAATCTTTCTCGATTTTTAAGGTTTTTACTGCTAATCACTATAGGATAGCATATGAGGT